GGGCGTGTTCTGTCTCTTGGGGATACTCTTCGGAAGCACAAGATTGGCAACAATTCCACAGTCGATGTCCGCCTTCGGAATTCATATGTAGCGCAGTGAAACAAAAGAAAGCCCTAGGGTCTTTTGGGTGTTAGGCCAAGGGGCAAAACTTAAAAAGTTGCTTAGCCCCAAAGAGAACTATAACTTTGCCATTTTGCGGTCCTGTATACACTGCGGTTAGTTAGTGAATGTTTTGTGGCTCTTGACTGGGTAAGGTCTTATATTGCCTGCCTGGTGGTTACACTTGCGTAGCCTCTGAAGCATGTATTGCCCGTCTGGTGGTTGTAGTGTTGTACTTGTGTAGCCTCTCAGGAACGGTGGTTGTCTGATGACTGGTGGTGGAGAAGATACAATTCTGTTATGGTTCTAATTCTATTCACTGTCGTTTCTAATTGTAGCATGTGATCCTAAAACCCAGCATGGTTTCTCTACCGTTGCCGTGCGCTCGAGCTCGAGCGCTTGATAATGCCAAGCACAGCTAGAGTTTGATAAATGCGCAAATTGAGACAGGATTTGTACAACTAGGTTCCACCATTACCCTACTTTTTATCACCGCACAAAGAGAAAAGAGAGGTGCCAGGTACCCCCTCTATTTAAAAAATATAGTTTGGTCAAACTTTTTCAATTTGATCAGATTCGTAGAAAATACATGCAATATTTGTATATCTAAATAAGTTTATTATAAAAGTATATTCAACAATCTATCTAATGATATTAATTATGTATCATAAATATTAATATTTTGTTAAATATATTTAGTCAAAATTAAAAGTTACTGACTTTTTGGGAAGTACAGTCCTACTTCGGTGCATATGCACACAAACAAACTTCACGTTACACGAGCTACCGCAGCTCTATGTTAAAACTTGAATATACACGAAAGAGCAAGAATGGAATTGGAAGTAATCATTGTTCATTGCATTAATCGTTGGTGTTTGTATACATGGTGAAAAGTCATACTCCCTCCGATTTTTGAAAGAACGTCATTTTGACATCATTTCACGTACCAAGATCTTTGATGTTTAGTTCCTCTATTTTGCAAAATAATTTTGGATTCTGGGTCATCTTTTTGCAAAATATAACTAAACATGGGTGTGAAAAGTGCAAAAAGTTCCCCTCCAAAAAATTTCACATTTTGAACTCCAGACTCCCGAATTCGAAATTTTTCGCCTCGGTCCGCGACCTGGATGCGCCTGTACCCCTCGCCCGCTCCCTCCCTACCCTATCCATTCGCTCGGCCACCACTCTCCTTCTTCCTTTCCCCATCTCCATCTCCGCCACTCTCTCCCCGCCACGCTGATCTCCTCACCTAAAGACCACGGGTAAAACCGCGGATACTAGCCCTAGATATCCATCCCTGAGCAAAAATCGTGTGCAGCGCTTCGCCGTTAACCGTCACGGTCATGCACGTGCCCGCTATCCGGATATCATGCCCGGGCACACCCCGTATACATAAAAATGAAGCAACAAAGCACCCAACCATATCTTAATAGCAAGTAAGAAATAATAAATAAAAAATTCTTCTATATCTCAACATTAGATAAAGTATGACACATTGACCATACAAGAGTCATCAAAAGTCTACATTAGTGTATCTCAAGTCATCACAAATTAACACGAATAAAGACATACAACCGTATATAGACTTATAGGGTCATTAGCACGGGTCTAGCGGGGTTTGCGGGTGCGGATATCATTTTTCCATGCCCACGAGCAAATATCCATCGGGTTTAGAATCACACCCATGCTCGTGCCCAAGCACAAACTTAAACCCATATCCATGCCCATCGGGTTTTCTATCCGCGGGCACGCGGATATTTTGTGCCCGTTGCCATCTTTACTCACAGCCTCTCCTCTCGGTCTCTCCCCCACCTCCTCCATCGCCAGCCTTCACCTTCTTCCCCACACTTCCTTCATGCTGCGGCCGGCTTTCAGCGTAGATCTCGGGCGAGCCAGCCGCGCTCATGGACGGATTCCCAATGGGCAGTACGGAAACGCAGCGGCACCGCGATTTCTTCTCTCACCGGAGCTCGGCTTTCAACCTCTACTCAGACCAGCTTGCAGTTCCCTAGCTCAAGCTCCATGGCCGGGCCTCTCCTCTCGATCTCAACTCCAACGGCGAGGCTTGGCCCGGAATGGGGAGGTACGAGAACCTCCTACGCTACGGCCAGGACGAAGCAGATGGCGAGGGCGGCTTCTCCCCCTCTCCCGTGCGCGTCCGTGCCTCCGGGCGTACCCTTGGGCAAATCTGTCATCTTTTGTTATAGCTCAAGTTTTCGGTACATCTAAACAGGGTCTGAATTTTTTTTGCAGAATTGGGTTTTCACCTTGAAAACATTTCGCAGAAAGTTTTCAACCCATTTCGCATCTAAACACCACCATACATTTCCTACTTTGCCCATAGTAAATAGAGTCAAGGGACACTCCTCATCAATAACTCTTTGCTTGATTGGTCACTGTCTCTACACTTGTGTTATGCGGCCAGGGTTCGACTTCCAGTGGGTCTAAGGTCAGTCTCAGTGGAGATTTCATATTTCAGCTTCCAAGACTAAAAATTTTAGCAAATGTAGGATAGATTAGTATGACATAAAGAAAAGCCATACTACCCTTCGTTAAGTGGAGTAGTTGCACACTGATCGATGATTGTTCCAGTTACACTTTAAACTACTCTCATTAATAGGAGTAGTTGCACACCGATGATGATCGTTCCAGTTACAAGTTAATTATAGCATTTACTACATCCACCGGTGGTGGTGGAAAAGTAAGAGATGGGAGAGGTGTAGTAAATGCTAGGAGACTCAAAGAAAAATAAATAGGCTGGTGGACTATTTAGGCTCCGTTTGCTTTGCTGAAAAAATAAGCCGAAACATTATTCCGGCTGATTTGTTATGAGAGAAAAACATTGTTCTGGCTGAAAAAACAAGCTGAAAAGTACGGATTATAAGACAAGCGAACATGGCCTTAGCCTCTTTTTTTACGAGTTACACAAGTATAGAAGCAGACATTCAACACGCACGCACACTCACCCCTATGACCACCTCCGAAAGACTGTGCTGACACATCTTAAGATTGACGAAGTCACCACAGATATCTTGTTGTCAACGGGGACGTCGTCTACCACTCACAATGCCATTAAATCATACAATAAATCCAGAAAAATACAAGCAACCGTGCCTAGTCGAGGACTAGGACCAGGTGGATAGATTCCACCACAAGAAATTTAACCAACTGAGCTAGGCACAGTTCGCCACCATTTAGCCTCCTAAAGAGTGATTTATTTGTAGACAAGTTTTTGAGTTAGGAATCTATTTATTCAAAGTATTGCATATAGTGTTGAAAAATTTTAATCCTGTAAAACTGATTTCACCCTATAAAACTTTTATCACTTCTCTTCTTTTTATATTATGCCATGTCAAATTATTAAATGCTCATAAAATTTTCATGAAACTGCCACCGAGACTGGGCTAAATATATTTTGCATTTGCCAGATTTGATCGTGGCTTGGATGTTTTTTTTTTTTAATTTCGTGCTTTGGGCTGCACTTCCACACTAGTATTTGGCTGCGCGATGTGTCGGTCTTTTGTCGCTGCCACGATGGTCGCTAGGAAGTCAAGCTCAACGCCACCCGGTAGGGACACAGATTCAGTAAAAAGCAAGCAAGGAGATGAACGATGTGGCAAGGAGGCTAGCTAGGAGGGAAAAACACCGTGAGAAAATTTTCTCTATACAAGTTCCCGTTTGAGGTTTTTTTTTTTTTAGAGTTGCTCTCCACGCTTGCCACCCGGTTCCCGTTTGAGGTTTTTGAACATAACTTCGACGGGCGAGAGGTGTGAAGCTATCTCATACTAAACGAATGAAACACATTTCACCACATTTCAAGTAGTTGTAGTCAAACCCGACTAATTTCCCAAGTGGTCTCATGAAACCTCTTTACCTTTAGTTACATTTGAAAGCGATTTGGACACTTTGTTGTGATCATCCCTCATATCGGTTGCCCATGTGACCCGCTATAAAGAAGTGTATCCATATATGATCTGGATGTGTCTCTAAGAAACTAACTTGGTCTAAAAAAGAATGCAATTTTGATTTCATCCGTAGTCAAATTATCTAAAGTTTAACTAAATATATAAAAAAGAGTATAATACTTGTGACTTCAAAAAGATATATTCTATGACGAATTCAATGATATTTATTCCATGTTATAGGCATTGGTACTTTTTTGTATATTTTATTTATTATCGAGCTTGAGATGGTTTGACTACGTGCTAGGCCGAAGAGATTATATGCAAAACCTTGTGTCTTGCTTTAAAATTTAAATTTCAGACTTAGGGCTAGCTTGGTTTGCGATCAAAATGTGCCATGCCAAAGATTTGGCAAGCCAAAGTTAGGGGTCTGTTCGGTAGGACTGAAAAATACTGTTCCGGCTGATTATTGTGAGAGGAAAATACTGTTCTAGCAGAACGTGAACAATGCCCCGCTGAGTGGCCTGGCCAGCCCCAGCCAGCCGAATAAGCCAGCCGAACAAGCTCTAGATAAATCAGTAAATGAATTTGTTAAAGATTTGGCAAGTTAAATGTGAGAGATTAGTAAATTTTAATAACATATAAGTAATAGCCAAAATCATGGCTCGTCGAATCTTTGATTTCACATATTTTGGAAGCTATACAATCAAACCCTTAAATTGCCCTACGAAAAATGAAGCGTTGCTGAGTGCTGATCTTATCCCGCCGCCCGCGTGGCCGCATGCCCGCATCGGTCATCCCGGCCGTCTTTACTGTTACCGAGGAGGCACAGCCGCGCGCCCGCGCACAGACAGTGAGAAGCCGGAGAGTTGGCGGATGCTGCTTTAAAATCCGCACCGGCTCTGCTCATGCTCAGCTCTCATCCGCAGCACGAAACCCGGACCCCCGTGGAGAGCAGCGCGGCGGCATTGTGGCGAGCGGTCGGCGAAGTGGCTCGCCATGGACATGGACTCCCGCCAGCAGCAGTCAGAACACTACAAGGTTCGGCCCTCTCTCCCTCTCTCTTCGCGCCATTTCTTGCGGATTTCGAGAGAGGTGTGGTGATCGCTCGCGGGGAGTGGGGTTCATGAGTACTTGCCTGATCGTTCGGTCCCAAGATGATGGGGCTGGGGTTTGGGGTTTATGGGTTCTGTCAATGTCTTGTTTGTCCAGTGCTTCTTCATCGCGGTTCTGGAGTAAAAATTGAAAATACAGTAGGCTATTATATCGTTTTCTTACAAAGTGAGCATATCGTATTCAGACCTCAGAGTACATGAGAGGAAGAAAACATATATATGTTCGCTTTGATTTGATTTGATGGGCTCATTAGTTATACAAAATCTAGTCATGTTTCATCTTCTCTCTGGACTTCGTTTCCTTGTGGTTCATTTGAACTGGATCATCAGAGGCTGTATGTGGTGGGCTACTTTATTTCGTTGCAGTGTGTGTGATAATAAATAACTTGCGAGTTGTGAGAAACGTGATCAATGCCTAATTTTGCTTCCTGGAAGTTGGAACTCTAGTCAGTACTTTATAGTGTGTGCCTTTTCTTATGCATGTGTCAGCTTTGGTCGGTTCTTGGAACGCCTTTAGCCCGGATGTGTCTTTCAGGGTTTCTTAGCAATAATTGCCTTGGCATCCTGGGTCACAAATTGCTCAGATAAAATTAAAAAATCACTGTCTTGCTCAATCTGCAAGATCGACGTCATTAAAAAAGTCAGAGTAGATAGTATCACAACGTTTGATTCAGGTTTGGATGTGGTACTATGAACTCCTTTTTTTGCTGCTCTGTATATATACGAGATCCAATCTTATTCCGATGTTCCTTTATTACAAACTTTGATGCATTTGTCCTTTCGATGTATTGATGGTTTCTTAGCAATTTGGTGGTTCCACTCTGCAGATCTATGTTAGGATGACGAAAATAGTGGCACTTGATGTGAAGTCCACTGATACCATAGATCAGATCAAGTCTAAGATCGGTGCTATAGAGGGGATTGACAATAGCCAGCAAGCTCTCTTTTTTGCTGGAAATCATTTGGAGAAGGACAACAGACTTGCTGATTACAACATCATGACAAACTCTTGTGTCGACCTTTATGTAACTGATGGGATGCAGATCTCTGTCAGTATCCCCTCTGTTGGGAAGACCATCAAGCTCAATTTGACAAAATCCCAGAGTGTTGCTGATGTCAAGGCGGTGATCGAACAGAAGGGTGGAATTCCTCTGGATGAACAAATCCTGATGTATGGATGCCAAAAGCTTGAGGACAACAAGTTGTTGAGTCAGTGTGGTTTGAGCAATGGCCACACCCTGCATGTTTTGGTCTGCCCCACTGACAAGCTGCGTATCTCTGTGGATGTTGATGGTGAAAGAACTATCAATCTCGATGTCAAAAGCTGGTATACTGTTGCTGATGTCAAGCTGCTGATTCAGACTTTGGAGGGTTGGCTTGCACGGACACAGATACTCAGCACTGAAGTTGGTGGTCATTTTATAGTGCTTAAAGACATTAAAAGGTCTCCCCTTCCAATGTCCTGACACAGATACTCAGCATGTCAAAAACAACGACATTCTCACATTACATATGGATCGAACTGTCCAGTTCTTCGTCAGGACATTGGAAGGGGAGACCTTAACTATGATGCTGAACTTGTCTGACACGACAAAGGATGTCATGAAGAAAATTGAAGAAAGGCTGCCGATTAAGCCTGGTATCTACTCTTTACGTTACAGGGGGCGTGCTCTGTCTCTTGAGGATCCTCTTCTGAAGTATAAGGTCGAGAGCGATACCACTATCCACGTCCGCCTCATTGGAGATGTGAAAGGAAAGCAAAAATTTCAATTTCCTTTGGGCCACGAAAAAAAAGAATCACGTACTAGCTTGATACCACCATTTAGTGCGTCGACAAGTTTAGTCCTGAACTAGACGACATTTCTGCCTTTGGATTGGTTATTATGTCTATTGTTGCTCATCAAGTACAAGTTTTGAAGTAGTTTTATCAGGCGCAGTTTGCAGAGACAGTGCTGCTGCTATCTCTCTCTTGCTGTAGGAGCTAGTGAACTCAAAGGTTCCAGACTAATGTGTAGAACATGACAATCATGGGTAGCTGTGAAATCAAAGGTCTGAAATTCTGTAAGGATCATGAGTCATGTCTTACTGTTTCTCGTGCACTGTCATCACGTGCATTGCTCTTGTTACTAGTACTTGCTTATGTGGCCATTCAGTTGGTCTACTAGCACTTCCAAATTACTATATGGCACTTTAGGTTTGTCTTAAGTAAGTTTTCTCTAATAATAACTTCAGATTTGTCACTTCAGAAAAATATATTAACATTGACAAGTTCAAACTAATTTGATGGTGCATTTTTTAATAAACCTTGTCAACGTTAGAGAACTAATTCAGGACAAACCTAAAAGTGACCTATAATTTGAAATAGAAAGAGTATTAGTCAAGTGATTTTAACATAACATTTTTCCTCCTTTGAAGAAAAAAAGTTTTGAAATTAGCAAAATGAGTACAAGGAACTGCTAACCTTGAGATGATTCAGGCCATGTTTTTGTTTCTATGCCTATCAGCATTCAGCATTATTAGTTACGCTTGCGGCATGCCCAACTGTTTGTTCCATTTCCGAATGATTTGTTTGGGTGAAGTCTTACTGATCGTTCGCAGAAAATAGCTGTCCATTCTCTGAACAGTCTCGTGAAAACTGAAAAGAGATCCACTTTCTGAATAAACTTGCGAAGCCTTCAGTATTTCACGCGACAGACAGACCAAACTTGCCAACGCGTCGTCTGTTGTCACTTGTCAGTAACGCAAAAGATTAAAAAATGGTTTGGACACCATGCATAATGGTCCTGTTCGGCTGGTATTAAAGTCGACTAATAAAAACTAATTTGTTGTGAGAGAAAAATACTGTAGATTTTAGCTGATAAGCCAGCTGATAAGTTCAAGCGATCACATGTGCGGCGCTGACGTCCGAAATTCGGCCTATGTGCACCAAGAGAAGAGGCAAGAACGCTCCATGGTGCGTGGCGTGGTGGCCTCTGACAACTGACAAGATCGGTCAAGGATGCGAGATGAAAATTTGGCATTTGGAAAGGCTTGGATTTGATGCTGTATTTATTCATGTGTGCTCTCCATGTTTTTCAGTTTTACATGTCCTCTTCCTCGGAGTTGAACCGGCTTCGTGGTCCTAATGCCATATTAGGCTTTAGTTTGATGCATGTGTATCTACTTTAATCTAAATATATTGGAGTGGATTGGAACGGAAATTAGTTTAATTTCACTTCAATACACTTCAATACATATGGATTGAGATAAATACATACGCATCCAAATAAGGCATTATAACATGACATTATCCACCACTGGGGACAAAGTACATGGTTGATCTTGATCAAACATACGACAACAATGAAATCTTCAATAACATTTTGTTTCACGATACAATAACACTAGTCTTATTATTTTTTACACATACTAGCAAAACTATATTATTCATTACTATTATTTTATCCAACAACACAAGATTAAGGAAAGTAGGTGCCCCTTCAGTCTGATCTACTACCGAGAAAATCAACAAAGCTTTCCAAAACCAAGGACAAGGCTGCAAGTGAAATCTCAACCACGTAAGGTGGTGGTTTGAAGGTACATGAGTGTGTGCCCATTATATTATGATCTTGGTGGGCAAATAAAGGGATGTTGCAATAATTTGTTGACAAACTTGACGGTCTATTTAAATATCTTGTATAACTTCATGTTAAAGGTTTGTTTTCCTATTGAATTCGAGATAAATACGTACATGGCATATACATATCAATAAAATAAATATAAATATATGCAGCTCCAACCCATCAAACTTATTATTATTGGTTGATGAAAGCTTACTGAAACTATCATATTTGAAGGAAATCTCTACATATCACTTTTAGACTTGTGAATAAATCATTTCTCTATGCATTGCAGGGGATTGAGAGGCTAAACCAATCTCTCTCTCAAACCCCTCCAAGAAATAAATGTATCTAAGCTAGTTCTAGTTGCTATATCTCTCCTTTATGTTGGCGACCCTCCAACCCAATTGCAATTGGTTGTGTGCACTGATGCCCCCGACTTCTGGTATGATCTTTGTCATAAAAAAGAAAAGAAAAAACTCTGCTCTGAAATGCACAAATGCCATGTTCGTAAATAAAAAACCACATGCAAAAGAAAATGAAAAGGAAAAAAAAATAGAAATACTTGTAGCAAAAATCAACCCAAGAGGAAGGACCAAATCGTAAAACGTGACACTCTGATTTGTGCATTCCTCCTCCCCCACCTTCCACCCTTCGATCCCACGTCTTCTCCTCAACCTTTCTTCTCCTGTCCTCAAGAACCCCAATCCAAACCCCCAACCGCCAAAAATCCTACGAAATACTAGCACAGAAATATCGTTTTGGCTCAGATCGTGCCCGAGGTGATCCAGATCTCTACTGGTTCATTTCCCTCTTGTGGTGACCTGATCCCGTTACCATTACCTGTTCTTGGATTGCATCAGTGAGGAAGCCGTGAGTTGAGGGGACAACGCGGGATCATGGCGTCGTCGCTGGCCGAGGATGAGGAGGCCTTCGAGCACACGCTGCTGGTGGTGCGCGAGGTGTCAGTGTACAAGATCCCGCCGCGCACCACCAGCGGCGGCTACAAGTGCGGCGAGTGGCTGCAGTCGGACAAGATCTGGTCGGGCCGCCTCCGCGTGGTGTCCTGCGGTGACCGCTGCGAGATCCGGCTCGAGGACCCGGCCACGGGGGAGCTCTTCGCCGCCTGCTTCGTGCTGCCCGGGCAGCGGGAGAGCGCCGTCGAGACCGTGCTCGACTCCTCCCGCTACTTCGTGCTCCGCATCGAGGACGGCAGGGGGAAGCACGCCTTCGTCGGGCTCGGCTTCAACGAGCGCAACGAAGCATTCGACTTCAACGTCGCCCTCTCCGACCACGAGAAGTACGTCAAGAGGGAGCAGGAGAAGGAAACCACCGGCACTGGCGGCGAGGAGACTGGCGGTGGCGAGATTGATATACATCCGGCCGTCAATCGCCGACTCAAGGTGAGCTGAAAGCACTTGTTCTCTCTCTCTCTCTCTCTCTCTCTTTTTTCGTTATTATTTGACTAATTCTGTTATTCCTTCCTCTGAATGTCAGAATGTTCTGTACTTTAAGCGAATGAGCTACAACATTTGTTGTTTATCTTTCGTATAAAACTGGCAATCTATGCAATTAGACTAGTTGAAAATGATAATGTGTAGCTAGCCGTGATCAGCTAACTTCGTAAACTGACTCAAAAGGAATTATAGATAAATTGCCCGATAATCTAATATGCCATTTGCTGAAATAGTTTTAGTGATTCACATAGCAAATAAACCGAGACTGGCTTTCAAATCATGTAAAAAGTGATACAATCATACGTCTTGTATAACCATGTATCAAGAATTCTAAAGCTGATCACAGATTCAGAACACAAGCTAGTGGCTTACTGACTTGTTCTTAGCAGACCAGGCATCAAGATGACTAGATGATACAGACATCCAAGCAAATCAGCAATTTTTAGTCAGTTCATTTCTGATTGGGCTTATAGTTGACCTTATTCTGTATTTATGCTATTGGTTTGTCTGAACTCTGAAGTAACACAATCAATTCATAGAAATATATCAAGCTTTCTCACAAATAATACTCTCTTAGACTTTTGTCCAGGCAGTCAATTTGTTCTCTTAACAATTTTCAGATAGGTGGATTTTTTTTAATCACTGGAACCAAATAATGAGCCTATTATTTCTGCAACTTCTGTTGGGCCTGTTTGGTGTGACATTATCATACAAATTGGTCCAGAAGGATCCTCAATTTGTTGAAAAGCAGGACAGAATTATGACTTCTCAGCCTTCTGCATATGTGAACAAAGGCCACATTATGTACTTTTCGAGTTACTAGTTAATCAATCTGCCAATGTTGTGTGGTAATGCTCATCAAGAAACTGAATATTGCACCTTTTGTAAATTTGTAGTTTGTGCTGTAAATTTCCCACGTAGCATCATATTGTTTTACACAGGAGCACTGTCGTGTCTATCTCTTGTATCTGTCAATGTGTTCATGTGCATTATCTCTGGTACTTGCATGAACTTCAATGGTGTTCCTTTTGTTTTAGGAAGGTGAAACCATTAGGATAACTGTAAAAAACAAGCCATCAACTGGAAGCGGTATGCTTTCAGCTGCTGGTTTATCTGGAGGGACCACTGCAAAACCGAAAACAAGCATGCTTCTTGAGCCACCTCCAGGTGCAGCTGGGAAGCTTCGATCTCCTCTTCCGCCTCCACCTAACGACCCTGCAGCTGCAAGGATGAATTCTGAACATACTGCAGGAATCAGGGCTCCAAAAGAACCCACCAAGAGAAATAATGATCCTTTTTCAGATCTTTCTGCTATAAAGGTGAGGTTTTCTATTCGGTGCCTTACAATTTAGGGTATTGCTGTCCAGAATGGAGCACTACTAAGATCACATGCAGCTGTCCCATGCACATACTAGCCAATTTCATAAACTGATAATAAGACAGGATTTAAGCTACACATGTTAGAGCAATCCTCTGTGCTTAAACAAGTAAAAAGAAGCTGTTCATTTTGATCTGGTCAATCTTGTCACCTCTATTCTAGGTGCCCCTAGTCAAATGAAACTAATAAGTCTATAACAAATAAAAAAAGAATGTCTGATATTCTTCATTCAGTTGGATAAGCGTACATAAAAACTTAGAATGGCCATGTAAATTAAATTTTTGGAGGCCTTTGTTTTATGGTTATTTATTTACTTACCCCTTCATGCCCTTACACTTCAACCATATATATGTGATATGCAGCAAAATCTACCTTCATCGGCTGAACCCGGACAAACAAAGAGCACAGGAGCTGGATGGGCAGCATTCTGATGATGGATGCATGATCTACTGTTGGCATTTGTTTATCTGAAGAAGGGGAATGGGTAGCTGAAGTACTGAACAAGACTTGGATCTGGCCTGCTGGAAGTCTCTACCCCTTTCGAAATTAAATGGTTAAAAATGACTGATCAGCGTTCCAGTTCCAGTTGTCAACCGAGAAATAAAACAATTTCCAGAGTTGTGTTACCCATCTCACCACATGAATGGATGCTCAGAATATCTGGATATAGATACAGCCTCCCTTCTTGTTTATCTTATTCGTGCTATGTTTCACAAACCAATACCAGAATCATACTGACCTCGATGTGTATTTTGGGGCGAAAGATTGAAAGTACTGTTACAAGTGCGGCAAAAGACTGTTTGATATGGTATTCAGTCTTCTCAAGTTACAAGTTATCGTTAGGCATACGTCATTCCATTCAAAGTATAGCTGCCGTGACAACTACTACTTGCTGATTGCAGTTTCAGAGACGTGTTCGTCAGACTGGAAATGTATGAAGTATGATCATGCCGTCCTGGGCTCTGATCCAAATCATTCTAGAATTTCCACGAACTATACCCTAACTCCCAAAAGAATTTGGAAATACAAGCCATTCCGATCGCTAAAAAAATGACTTTACTAATAATAGGCTAGCCTTACAAGTTTTGAAATTTGCTGATAGTGAAAGTATTATCTTCAACGCTTGGTCTCTACGTCTCAACCAAAACCACTCGTTCTACGGAGCATTTTTAGCATATCCCTGTTTGTAGCCTTTGTCCTCGCTTCTCTTCCACCACCGTTCTCGACTTGCCTAAAAATTTAATGACTATATTTCGCCGCTCTAGGCGTAAATTCTAGATCGAAATTTCCCCTTTACTTTGGAGCACCGCACATAAAAATTCTAATGATCTCTTTTATTTTTTGGGCTGTTCACTTGTAGATAGATCGCACTGAATTTGTACTTCAAGTTAAGATTGCTTTCCGGATGCAGTTTCTGTATGGACAATTGTGTGTAGGCTTACACAATTATTAGTCGGGATCGTAGTGCGGCAGTTGTTTTTTCTTCTCTTGCTCGTAATGGATTCAGCGAGGAGCTGGTTTACCAAGCTCCAAACGAGGGAGAAATCCATTGGAAAGAAGAAGGAATTGCCTCCCAATGGCAAGGAATCCGGCGATGATGCGCCATCGAGTGCAACCAAGCAGAGGGTTGGGGCGGCCAAGCAGTACATTGAGAAACACTACAAGGAGCAAATGAAGCATCTGCAGGACAGGAAAGAAAGGTAAGGATCTGTGATGAAATTTATATGTTCCAATATGATTATGCACTCAAGTTCTTTCTCAAAAGAATTTATCATTACCGATGACATCTCAACTTTTGCATTGTTGTCATGTAGACGGTGTAGTCTAGAAAAAAAATTAGCAGACGCTGATGTGTCCGAAGAGGAGGTTCATAACATCCTGAAGCAGTTTGAGAAGAAAGAGACGGAGTACATGCGCTTGCAAAGGCATAAAATGAGCGTCGAGGATTTTGACTTGCTAACAATGATAGGCAAGGGAGCATTTGGTGAGGTAAACCTACACTACGTGCGAATAATGGACCATTCTGTATCCAATTCCCTCTGTTTTTTTATAAAATCGTTTTTGCTTGACACAATGGTTTTCTTCTAGGTCAGAGTCTGCAGAGAGAAGACCACAGGAAATGTCTATGCGATGAAGAAGCTTAAAAAGTCTGAAATGCTTCGTCGAGGTCAGGTAGAGCTATTTCTATCAAAGGTCTGAATTCATCTTTGTATCCACTGTTCCTTTTTCCTGAGTGCTTTGTTTGGTTTGTTTCATAGGTTGAGCATGTCAGAGCTGAAAGGAATCTTCTTGCCGAAGTGGATCACCACTGCATTGTCAAACTGTATTGCTCATTCCAGGACAGTGAGTACCTGTACCTGATCATGGAGTACCTCCCAGGAGGCGACATGATGACCCTGCTCATGAGGAAAGACACGTTGACTGAAGATGAGGCCAGGTTCTATGTTGGCGAGACAGTTCTTGCGATCGAAGCGATCCACAGGCATAACTACATCCACAGGTACGGAACAAGTGCAGTCGTGTTCAGTAGCGCTGCTGATATATTCTTTATGATGAGTTCAGTACCTGAATCTGCAGAGATATCAAGCCTGATAACCTGCTACTGGATAAGTATGGTCACTTGAGACTGTCAGATTTTGGATTGTGTAAACCATTAGACTATTCCAACTTCCCAGACCTGAATGAAAAGGACGTTACGCCTACAAAATCATCGTCGATGCATGGGGATGGGAAGCAGCAGTCGATGCCAAAGCGCTCGCAGCAAGAACAATTGGAGCACTGGCAAAAGAATAGAAGAACTTTGGTCAGTAACCAACACAATGACATTATCAGCTGTGACTCCTGCATTATATTTTACCAATTGATATGTCACTATCTGTTCTGTAATACCTTCTTTATAACTTGTACTTCCAAGTTTCGACGAGTGATTAGTTAAATGATTGCAGGCTTACTCAACTGTTGGAACACCAGACTACATCGCTCCAGAAGTTCTTCTGAAGAAAGGCTATGGGATGGAATGTGATTGGTAAGCATTAAGCATCTCTTGCAGTACTGCTTGCACCATTGATCTTATTGAGTTTGAGTTTAAAGAAAAACAAATTTCATGTTTCCAGGTGGTCCCTTGGTGCTATCATGTATGAAATGCTAGTGGGTTATCCTCCATTTTATTCAGATGAGCCTATGACAACCTGTAGAAAGGTAACGTATTTTAAGCTTTTAGCTATGAAAAATACCTTAGTGGTCATTCCGGTGATTGGAGCATACTCATCTTCCAAATTAACTGATTTCTAGGTTCAGTCGTCTCTATTTTGTCCCAATATCCTTTATTTAGATCATGCCTATATGTGCAAAAACAGATAGTAAATTGGAGAACACATTTGAAATTTCCTGAAGAAGCGAGGCTAACAGCAGATGCGAAAGATCTCATAAGTAAACTACTTTGCAATGTCGACCAACGCCTTGGGACAAAAGGCGCAGAAGAAATAAAGGTTGTTATGTGGTGGTTAAGTATGATAACATGCCCCAAATAGATGATACTGAACTTTTGCTCATAGTACTTTGTACGTGTAACTTTAGGAGCATCCCTGGTTCAGTGGATTAGAATGGGACAAACTATATGAAATAGAAGCCGCGTATCTGCCTCAAGTCACAGATGAGTTGGACACTCAGAACTTTGAGAAATTTGAAGAGGTAACTGTTGTAGTTTATAAAGAAACGTGCTTCTCACTCACCAGAAATTATTAGATAAATATATTTGTGTGGTGTATTCGCAGTCCTCGGATAACGTTCAGTGTTCAGCAAAGACGGGCCCTTGGAGAAAGGTTATAATACCTTATCATTTAGGGAAACAGACATTACTTCTCAAACTTCTTTACATTGCTGCATTTTTTTGTGAAATACATTGCTGCATTTTAATTGTATGCGCATCTTTAAAAAATTTATTCTCGTTTTTTGTGTTTTCCACCAGATGCTTTCTTCAAAGGATTTGAATTTTGTGGGCTATACCTACAAGAACTTTGAACTTGTGAACGATCACGATGTCCCCGGCATGGGTACAGTACTTTCCAGCTTCTATGAGTATATAAGGGTTTGTTTGGATCCACGAAACCGAAGACAATATTTAGAAAGTGATTCCCATTTTATTATTAAAATTCCTTTTCAATTCCTGGGAACCAAAGAGGGTCTAAGTGAATTTAGGTGATAAACCACAAAAAAGGTTGGAGGCGCAGACTCCTCAACAAGGTAGAGGAGGAAAAAAAAAAGGATGTAGCAGGATAACCAAGTTTTCATTCTGACCATGCTGTTCTTGTGTTTTTCAACTGATACACCTTGTGCTGCTGCACAGCTGAGCTGAAGAAGAAGGAGAAGGCAAAGCGACCAAGCGTCAAATCTCTGTTTGGTATATATATGTGAACCCATGCACGCATCCGCTGAAATCCTTTGTCATTCTATGGTTTACATTGAGTTGTACACGCAGATTCACCTGAAGGAGGAGAGGGAGAGGGAGAGGAGGCGCAGCAGCCTGAAGACGAAGCAGCCTCTGCCGAAGGAAGCGTCCGGAAACCAGCAACAGAGCCTGAACTGACCAGAAGCATCAGCTCGCCATCCACATGAAACGCCACTTCTCCAACAACGGCTATCAGACATGTCTGTCACCAGTTCAGTTGATGAGAGCGAGAGCGTCGTCGTTCGTGCACACGAGTGACGACGGGAGCCCATGCATGCAGCATGGCCATGAGTGCTTCGATTCGTCGGTAGAGTTCGCCAGCCGGTGGTTACCTTACCTGCCAGGAAGAAATTAAAGGGGAAGCGTGTTGTACTCTTTGTTGATTCACGAGCGAATAGCTAGTGATCGTGCTGAAAATAAGTGTGTCCGTGGAATGTGTTATATATACACGGATATTGACGAAGCGAACTCGCAAGTCGCATGTGCATTTTACCCTTCAGCCGGCGTACGGTGAAACTCGTCCGTTTCGCTGGCTACTACCACCTCCCTGCTCCTTCCGGGTGTTCGGCGGCACCGGCAAACGCCTGGCGCGCGCCGGAGCCCAGCTCGTGGAACCGGCCGGTACGGTCGTCGGCGCCGACGGCCGAGGGCGTGGGAAACCGATCGAGGATAGACTCTGGTCGCAACGTGCGGGCAGGCAACCGTGCCGTGGATCGGATCTCGGCTGGGCGGAATCGGAATTCACGCGCGCGACACGGTGGAAATCCCCTTTCCCACACCGCCGGCCCGCGCGCGCCTTTGGACGGGCAGGACAGGAACGAGGCTGACTGGAGGCCGGCACGCACGCACCTGCGTGCAGCACAAGTGCGCTGTGCGCGTGTCCACCGGTCCTGCGTTTGGAGAATTTCCATGCTCAGCGCGCGCCGGCCGGCCAAGTGGTTGTTGACTTGTTGTGTGGGCCGTGCGTGCGTGCATCTTTTCTTTTCTTTTTTTCTTTTTTTTTTTGCCCGATCATCACGTACCGCCGGACCCACTGCCGCTCGCGTCGTGCCCAGTGTTGAACCACCCAACTACCACCTGAATTTTCAGCTATCTCACTCAAAAAAAAACTGAATTTTCAGCCCTTGATCCACATGATCAAATCCATCGTGTCACCATCCGTGCCCTTTGGCCGAGCTTCAGGTCCATAAAATCTCTAGACATCTTGTAACTGATGTCTAGACATCTTCTAGCTGAGTGTTTGTAACTCCAAGAATTCATATATACAAAATTCTTATAAATATACTTAAATCACTTTATTTAATTTAAAGGGTCCTTTGGAACACATGATTGCGAGAACATAGGAATAGGAAAAACGTAGGAATATGATAGGATTGCAACCGGAAAACAAAGGATTGAAACCATAAGAAACTTTGAAGCAGTTGTTGTTTGGATGGACACAGGAAATTCGTAGGAATGGAAAATTTTAGGGGATGTTTGGATTACATGAAATCCAAAGGAATTCTAAAGGAATCACCATTCCTATGTTTTTGCTCCTGTAGCAGCGTCTGGAGCGGAGGAATCGTCACTTCCTTTCCAAAGAAAAGTTTCCTATGCGTGTACGTTTTGGAGGAAAACTAACATCCTGGTTTCTTTCCTTCACGAAGTCCAAGACAATAAAGCACAAAGCGTGTGTCTGTTGGCCTGCAAGCTGGCTGAAACCTTGTACGAAAGTCTAATCCCATATATCTTAATATCAAGTTTGAGCACATCTTTCATTCCTGCGTTCCAAACGCCAATGTTTCAAAAATTCCTGTGTTTTTTATTTCTCTATTTTAACACTACGTTCATGTCCCTTTCCTATGTTTTGTTCGATTCCTCTGCTTTGCATTCCTACATTCCAAACAGAAGAGGACACTTACAATCACCTATCAGATTACTTTAGCCAATAATATATTTGTTTGCTAATGCATTAGAAACAATTGTAAAGATAATTATTAAGAAGCCACTTATAAGTGGGCCACTAGACAATTATTGTACCTATTGTTTTATGACCCCAAGCCTGATTATTTCTATCTACAGGAACGTAGTTTTTTTTTACCTTAAGAACACATGCTCTCACATTGTGGACCACAAGATTCGCACTGAGATTCGTGCCCAGCAGGAGAGAGAATCTCAGTGCGAATCTTATGGTCCACAATGTGAGGGCATGTGCCCTTAGGGGCAAAATTTACTTTATCCTATCTACGGCTAGCTGTGCGATGCCAACACAACTCGGTCTTATCCCCTCCCCCATGGCCCCCATTGTTTTCATCCGCTCGTCCCACTGAAGCCCCATCTCTACTCTCTAGGCAGCAGGAAGGACGCGGCGCGAGGCTGCAAGCTTGAGCAGCAGACGCACTACGCAGTGCGGTGGTGTCGCAAGCTGACGGACGCGGCATAGGCGCTATAGCTACTATGCAGCAAGCAGCTCGAGCGGCAAGCACGGTATGACAACCCAGGCGATGAGGCACTCGAGCTCCCACGTGACTGGCTAGCGGGGGCCGACGAGCTCGAGCTCGCACTAGGCGGGTGGGTGGGTGGGCGACAACGAACATCGGTAGCAGGTGGTCGGGCCGGCGCGTCGAGCTCTTTTTGCAGTTCTTTTGTCCATGAGCTCAAGCAACGTTATTATCATCGATTCAGCGCAAAGGAATAGAAACAAGAGGTTGGCATGGATGTTAGGTTTCCTCCATTTTTCCTTTGGAATGACTGGTGTAGGAAGATTTCCTTCGTTTTTCTAGGGTCGTTTCCTACCATTCAAAGGATTGAACAGTAGCCAAACCCTTAGGATTTGGAATCCTATGTTTTTCATGCGTTTCTCCTCCAATCCAAAGGAGACCTAGGTGTACAAACCACATATTCAATCTAGATCTTGGAGTTGGAGATACACCAAACAGATTCAGGTTTGAACAGTCTTCAAATTTTCTCATTTTTTTAAACTTCTCCATCACATCTTGGCCTTTGCAACAATGGACAACTGCTCTCTCCTCCCCCCTTAAGTGGTTGCCCTCTCCTCCCCTTTACTTTGGTGGCGTGCCGCTAGAAAAAAATTCTCTACATACATGATGTAGAGAAGTTCCCGTTCACACGACTCGGATGCCGCCCAAGCATGCATCGGCTGGGTGTGGAAGGATGAGCGGTTAGAGAAATCATCGGATGGAGACGTGGTTACATAAATCACTAGGTGGAAGGATGAGTTGTTAGCAAAATCAACTGATGCATGCGTGATAGAAAAATCATCTGACGGCAACCAAGCCATGCTGCACAGAGCTTCTCTGTATCACGTATGCAAATAATTTTTTTCCATGCCGCTACCTTTAGTGCACCACCTGTGACATCACCTTTAGGTTCAATCACACATCTCACTTCCTAGAGCATGTCCAACAGAATTGGTATATAACATGCAAATGCTATTTTTAGCTAAAGCTTTGGAAAAATGGCCTCCAAGAGATTAGCCAACACGATTGCTATCCCATTTGACAAGCTATCCTGTGAGCCTCGATAGCTAAATTTGGCTAGCCAACATGCCTTGCTATCTTAGTGTATATGAGGCTGATAGCTAGTGCTATGTTTGTGTTGCTCCAAACTCTATTCCTTTCTCTTGGAGATATGGCTAGTCTGTTGGAATGTGTTGAATTATGGAGGAAGGATTTTTATGAAGTGAATAGCTAAATAAAGATATGGAACATGGAATTTAGAGTGTCTCTTGGAGATGCTCTTAACCCTCAAACTCAAAATCCCTAACAATGTGTTTGGTTTGCGTCACTAACCTAATCAGAATTATCCAGTCCAAGATACGTGCCCAACCAAAATGTATGGTTTTGTGTCACATCATCAAATCATTCTCAATGGAACCATTTGAAAGCTCTAGTTTAGTTTTGATGAATTGATGAAACCCTAGATGCTAACCCTTTTGCTCTAAGTGATCATGAGATAGGGTAGCACATTTCAAATGATGGAGCAAATGGTGATGATCATGAAGGTAGTGATGGCCATGGTGATCAAGTGCTCGGGCTTGGAAAAGAAGAAAGAGAAAAACAAAAAGCTCAAGGCAAAGGTGATATCCATAGAAGCTTTTGTGTTCTGGTGATCAAGACATCTAGTGGGTGTGATCATATTTAGGATAGATAGCTGTACTATTAAGAGGGGTGAAACTCATCATGAAATGCAGTTATCAAAGTGCCACTAGATGTTCTAACTCATTGCATATGCATTTAGATTCTAGTGAGGCTAACACCCTTAAAAATGTTTGTAAAAATATGCTAACACACGTGCACAAGGTGATACACTTGGTGGTTAGCACATTTGAGCAAGGGTGGAGAAGTTGGTGAAGTGGAGGCACTGTTTTTTAGTGACCGGACGTTGCTCCCACAGCAACCAGACTCTACGCCTGCGTCTAGTCAGTAGAAGCCGTGGCTGCGCTGGCTTAGGGTGTTGCACTGGACGCTGAAGGAAAAAGTCATCGGACGCGCAAGGCCTGCGTCCGGTCAGGTGGTGACATACGCTGACGCAAGCGTTTTCACGTGGAAGAAAGGAGCGTATGCTCGGGCGCGTCCGATCGACGTTGACCCGACATGTTCGGTCTGAAAAAAAGCCACTTGGGAACCTTACTGGAAACGATCTGACTCCGAGGTGGCGCAGCGTCAGGTGGGACTCCGGTGCCTCCGGTCATGGTGTGGCGCTGGCGCGCGTGCACGTGATCTGACGCGGATCAGCGCGTTCGGTCTTCGGGACGGCGTGTCCGGTCGCTACTTAGCGCATGAAGGAGGGTTGTCGACCATTGGGATCGTGTGGCTGAGGTTAAACGTAGAGGACACGTGGTCGCATCACAACGACCGGACATTGGTTGGGCTATGTTCGGTCAGGCTGACCGGTGCGTCCGGTCAGTGCGCAGTGGCGCCCCCTTTGAGCACAATGGCTCTATTTCGATGGGGTGCCTATATAAGGTGTTTGGCCGGCTCTAGCTCACTATCTTGGCCATTTTCATTGATATGGGAACCTAGTGAGCTGAGCCAAAGCCCTCCCACTCATCTCCATCATTGATTCATCATCTTTGTGAGATTGGGAGTGAATCCAAGTGCATTGCTTGAGTGATTGCATCTAGAGGCACTTGGTGATTGTGTTTCGCTGTGGGATTCGCTTGTTT